AGAGAGAGAGAGCTAAAAGTATGTTTTAGATAGTTTGACTTAATTTTTTTAAAAAAATAATAGCGAGAGAGAGATAGAGAGAGAGAGAGAGAGCCAAAAGTATATTTTAGATAATTTGACTTATTTTTTTTAAAAAAATAATGAGCTAAAAAATTTACAATTTTTATTTTCTTTTTTATATATATTTATTCAGAATCAATTTTGTTATTGTTTTTATTTTAACCTATTAACTTCAATATATTTCTACAATTTAGATAGGTTTTTTTTGTATATTTTATATTTATTCTATATACTATCAATATGTTATATATATATATTTATTTCTACAATTTAGATAGGTCTTTTTTTGTATATATGTATATATATACACACACACACACACACACACACTAGAAATTAACTATATATAGATTCGATTTATATTAATCAACAAAAATAAAACTTTCTATTGACATTACGCCTCATAAATCGTTAACCCTACATATATAACGATTGTCTACCCGCGATATGGCGCGAGTTTCCAACTAGTTATCTACCGAGTGATTTGTATTCAAATTGTCTTTACTAGATATTAAAAGTAAGATAAAGATAAAACAAACAAGGCCCGAAAATAATAGAACGAGAGATTACCTAAGAAATCAACAATGAGCCTCCCGTCGAAGTTTGACCAGCTCGATCTCTTGAAGTAAGTCATGCCAAAAGGATCGGATTGTGCCGAAAATGCTGCCCAAAACCCAACAATGTCGGAATTTGAGTCATCAAAGTTAAAGATTACCTTAAAATCACATTTTGAGTAAATTGGACTCCCTAACATTGCCATCATCACCACCCAAACAACTAGAAATTGCTGCATTATGACAAGTCTTTGGATTTTGATGACTAGAGGCTCATTTTACGTGGAAATGATTTCGATCTTTTATAGAGTGAAAGTAGATAGTTATCGATGTATAAGGCATGTACTTGTATATATAGAGTTAAGTGGAAAGTTCCAAAGGAGGAGACAACCGGCATATGAACATCATGTTAATTTTGGTGATGTTGTTACTAAAGATAATAATTGATTTGATGAAGCTATGTGATTCTCTATTATATAACTAAAAGAACTAGAGTAGTTATACGAGTAAATGAACGAGTGATGAATAGTATCCCAATTCTTTTGTTTTCTTCCTTTTTTTTTTTTGGGGCTGACTAGCAACCAAACCCCGGCTTTGGGCACGCATGCGCCAAGCCTTGCTCGCCTAGCGGCATCACTTTGCCTATTTCTCATTATATATATATATAGTTACCACTCCGAAATGTTTTTAATTTTTGATTTTATTACAAATTTGTAATGGCTAATAATTTTTTGATATAATTTTATTTGTTGATAAATTTAGTTTGTTAATATATGAATTTTGGGATAAAATTTTAAAACATCAATGTTTTCTTTTTTAAAATATTTTATTATAATTTATAAAATAAATTATTTTTATATTTTTAAATTAGTGTTTTATTTTCTAATATATATATATATATATATATATATATATATATATAGAGAGAGAGAGAGAGAGAGAGAGAGAGAGAGAGAGAGAGAGGGAGCTAAAAGTATATTTTAGATAATTTGACTTTTTTTTTAAATCATGAGCTAAAAAAAATTATAATTTTTATTTGTTTTTTTTATATATATTTATTCATAATCAATTTTTTTATTTTTTTTAATTTTAATCTATTGACTTTGATATATTTCTACAATTTAGATAGGTTTTTTTTTGTATATTTTATATTTACTTTATATACTATCAATCTGTTCTCTTTTTTCTTTTTCTCCTTGGTGGGTTGACCTCTTTCTCTTTTATATATATATAGTTTTTAAGTTACAGTTGCCACTCTGAAACATTTTTAATTTTTGATTTTATTAAAAATTTGTAATGGCTAATAATTTTTTGATATAATTTTATTTATTAATAAATTTGTTTTGATATTATTTATTTGTTGATAAATTTAGTTTTTTAATATATGAATTTTGAGATAAAATTTTAAAACATCAATGTTTTCGTTTTTAAAATATTTTATTATAATTTATAAAATAAATTATTTTTATATTTTTAAATGAGTGTTTTATTTTCTAATATATATATATATATATATAGTGAGAGAGAGAGAGAGAGAGAGAGAGAGAGAGAGAGAGAGAGAGAGAGCTAAAAGTATGTTTTAGATAATTTGACTTTTTTTTTAAATAATGAGCTAAAAATTGTAAATTTTTATTTATTTTTTTATATATATTTATTCAGAATCAATTTTGTTATTGTTTTTATTTTAATCTATTGACTTCAATATATTTCTACAATTTAGATAGGTTTTTTTTGTATATTTTATATTTATTCTATATACTATCAATATATATTAGAAATTAACTATATATAGATTCGGTTTAAATTAATCAGCAAAAATAAAACTTTTTACCGACATTACACTATACCATATAAATCGTTAACTCTACATATATAACGGTTGTCTATCTACAACGTAGCAAGAGTATCCAACTATTTGATTCTGAAAAAGAAAAACTTAAGAGACCTCCTTTTCACATATTCTTTAGATTTGACTAGTGCTTCTGCATGAATAGTATGTTGCATTGGTTTTACAAAATAAGAACAGAGTTACAATTTTGTCACATCTCATCTCAAAGAAATTTGGGTAATTGACTACCAACTGTTTTGAATTTTTTATGAACGTAGAAAAAAAATCTTAAATTTTTTTATTTGAATTTTGAATTGTTTTTTCTTTTATAATTAATTTTTTTATTAATTTTATATAACAGTGTACATATATGAAAGAATCGCGATCTATTTATATAATTCATTAAAACAATAATATTTGTCTTTCATGCATATTTGATGTCGTTTGAAATTGTTCAATTGAACATTAAAAAAAAAATTTGTAAACAATAAAACACAAAATCTAAATTAGAATAAAAAATTAAAACTTATTTTTTATTAATCAAAAGTTCAACGCATTCTATAATGAATTAACCAAAACACGTCCTTTAAAACAATTACAATAAAATTTGGGTTTACAAAACACGAACCTAAATTACGATTTTGTCACATCTCATCCCAAAGAAATTTTGGGTTATAAATTACAAAGCATTCTGAATTTTTTACCAACCTGGAAAAATGTTTTTAATCTTTTTTAATTTCAATTTGGGTCTCAATTTTTATTTTTTTTAGCTTTTATAATTAAATTTTTTTTTATCTCATTTATTAATCTGAAAAATATTAGATGCACATAAGATATACATGATTTATTAAAATACTAATTAGTATTTTAAAAGATATATTCTTATACACGTGATTTATTAAAATAAAAAACTTGATTTCTTATACATATTTAAAGTTATTAGAAATTGTGAAAAAAATCTAAATCAGAATAAAAAAATTAAAAACTTATTTTTTATTAATTAAAAGTGTAAAATATTTTATAATCAATATTTTCTTATGCACGTTTTTTGGACCCAAACAAGAGCAATTAATGTTTACTAGTAATGAAAAACATTTGACAAAAAGTCATTTCAAGAAACGAGAAGAAAGTCGAGTCGTTTTCTGTTTTATCAAATGCAATTAATGCAAGGACTTAAAGATGAATCAAAACGTGTAAAAACCCTCGCCCGTAAAGCACGCTGCAGAGATATGTCAGATTTTGGGGTTGGGGTTGGGGTTGGAAGCGTTGAAAGAGCCCTTCAAGAACTCAAAGTTCCCATGCGAAGATAGACCACTATCTGCCAGTTGTTTTTTCTCCTCCTCGGGGAGGCAACGGACGGAGCCTCTCCCATGAGATTGACGTTATAGGTCATGATAGCCAAAACGGCAGTATCATCAGAAGCAGCAGCCAAAACGGCGGCGATATTGGCGATGATGGCAAAGACAGTAGTAGTGGCAGCAGCTAGCATAGTGACCGACTAGTTAAAAGTTGAGAGGAAGCTGTGAGATTGATTCTCTCTCTCTTTTGGAAAAATTTTGTGAGATTTAAAAAGCTTATGTACGACAAAATTATTAAAACCTAAAAAATAGGTTTATATCATTTTTCCAATACTTTCCTATTTATTAACAACATACAATCCTAAATAATACATAATTGCTTCATAAATCACTTCTAATCTATATAGTGCATTATTAGCATTTTATTTTATCTATCAAGTCCAAAAATAATAAAATTACATCTAATTTCATCAAATTATTAAAATACATACCTTTTTTTTTATATATTATTACTAGTGGATATTACTTTTTACTTCTTCAAACAAGATGATCCACAAAATTTGTATTATTTATTTAAAGGGTTAATGATCGTTGTCATTGTAGATGTCCTTCTACTCTTTATTTTATTTTTATCATGCTCCTCTATTTTTTTTCATCTTTAAGTTCATTCTTCTATATTTGTTATTGTAAAAAAAATTAAAAACATCATAGCCCACAAAATTTCAAAAAAATGAAAAAAAGATGAAGACATATTTGGTTATTCATTCAAACAATTACAAATTATAAAGATAAAAAATATTATTTATAAATTTAAATTTTTCTCTATGATAGTAAGCAGATTTTAAATATAAAGAAAATATCTATGATATTTTTAAAAAATATAAATAAAATTTTAAAATTTTGAATGATATTTATAATTTTATTATACCTCAAAAGTCTACTATATTTTACTTATTTTGATTTTATAAAAATTTAACTAAACAATTTTTATGTATAAATTTTTTTTTAAAAAAATTTACTTACTGTTATAACCAAAAAAAAAAAAATCTCCATTTATTTATTTATTTTTTTTAAAAAAGGAAAAAATAGAAATATAATAAAATACAAAAAAAACAAAGGGGGTAGAAAACACAAAATGTTCATCAAGGGGTCCAATTGAAAAATTGTTATTTTCATGGTTAAAATTTCTCGAAAATGAGCACGATTGCAGAGAATTGACATTTGCACTTTTGCAGGGACCAAAATAGAAGGTTGGAGCAAATGACAGGACTGAACGCGATTGAACGACCTGTCATTCACTCCAACCCAAAGTTCTTCCTTAAAACATTCAAAAATCTGTCCGAATTCAATCTATCCTGATTGTTTAACTAATCAAATTCAAAGTCTATGACAGAAGTTTGAATTCAAATTAGATAGCTAAAAATTCTGAGTTTGAAGGTAGTTGAGTTGGAGTGGAACTTGAATTGACAGTATCTATAAAAGGGATAAGAATTCGAGGTTTCAGGGGGAGGAGGATGAAAAAAAAAATCTGGGGTTGAGAGAGAGTTAAAAACAGAGAAAACGTAAAATTTGAGAGACTTTTTTTTGTTTGGCTCCTACTTTTTCTGGGAATTTTCTGGGCAGGGGTTTTGTGTTCATCACAATTCTGGGTTCGAGTTCTTCATTTTCTGGGTAAATTGAGGGGGATTTTGCTTTATTTTGTTTAAGATTGGGGTTTAGTGGCTAGGGAGGAAAACAAATCAAGAGTGAAAGGTTGAAGATCACGAAATTTCAGCATCATTAAGGTTTCCTGGGTTGCTGCATTTTCTGGGCATTGGTTCTTGGTGTTCATCCTTTTCTGGATTTACCAACAATACTCAATCGACTGGTTGGCTTTGATTTTGGACCTAGACATTAACTAAGTTTTCAAAATTTGCCACTCAGAACAATCGTCTCGAAATTGATCACAGTGATCATCATCATAAGCAATTCAGGTCCATTTTTCTTTTTTTCGTTCTTCCTGCGATTTTTTTTTCCAGTTTTCGTTTTCCTCAAATTTTCATTATTGTGATCTTTGCCATTTAATTCATTTTTTGTGTGAACCTTTGACCATGATTTCATCTCAATCAAACCGAAATAGGTCTCAATTTTAGCTTTCGATTCAAAACAAGAGTTTGAATTCTGGGGAGAGAATGATGAATTGAGAGAGAAACTAAGAAAAATATGAGAGAGAGAGAGGGTATCAAAATCTTAAGATTCCCGTTTTTGATCTGATAAATGAGAAATATAAAGAAGGAAGTTGTTTTGGGTCAGGTCCAGACGTGGGGTTTTATTTTTTTTAAAAAAGGAATCATGTGGGTTGGGCTTAACCCAACCCACGCGAATTGAAAGAATGGGCTGACTTCTACCCAGCCTTGGCCTAGCAATTTTTTTTTTTTAAAAAAAAATAAGGAGAAAAGAGGCTGGACTTGGATTCGGTCCAACCTCCCTTTCCCTTTCCTCCAAACTTATAAAAAAAGCTGGAGTTAGTTCAGCCTTCACATGAAAAAAATGATGAATAAAGAAGTAAAGAAACAGGATGTTAAAAGTGACGAGCAAAAAAAAAAAATCGACAAAGGGATATGAGAGCAATAGGGTACAGGATATCAGGTCTATGGTCAAACCAATTTTTTTAAACATTTTTTATAGCTTGGTTATTATTGTTATTATTATTTTTTTTATTTCTTGTTTTGTTTTCCTTTTTCCTTTTTGTTGCAGTACTTTAAAGTTGGTATTTTAATTTTTAGGTGAACTTATTTTTGCGTACTGTTATATTAGAAAACAACAAAAAAAATTTAAAAATTTTAACGAATTCTCCTATCCGATACGGATCGAAGTTACACAAAAAACAAAATCATCGTTTAATCGGAATGTCCTCCGACACATCGATTGTGTCAAGGTTTAAAGTGGATCCGATGTTTGAATCGACGTGTCGCCCGACGAAGAGGACCGATGATCATTTCAATACGATGCCACGCTCAAAAATTAAAATTTTAATTTTTTTTAAAAAAATGTTTAAAAATTAGAAAACAAGTTGGCATAGATAAACAATGTAGGAGATAAATTTAGGACTAAAACAAGATGTGGTACCTTTCTTCGAAAAGGATACTTTTAGGATGAATAATTATCTTCCTAAAAGTGTAACCAACTCCTTACCATAAAATCTCTAGACTTATTTTTAGATTCTTAGTTCCTTAATATTAGGTGACGACTCCAAAGCTCGTAAATAAACTTGTAAATATTAATCACATTTAGCATTTTAATTTTAGAAGCCCCGTCCGACGTCCGGTAGCGACACTTAATATCATAGAGACATTAAAAAACTACTATAAATATTTTATTTTATATTCAAAATTTGTTTAATTTCATAAAGATAAATTTAAATCTATAAAAAAAAATATTTTTTAATTTTTAGAGAGAACGACTGCATCTAGTTTTTTTTCTTCAAAATTTAATTATTAAAATGGAGTAAAAAAATAAAATTAAGATTAAAAAATAGAGTAAAAAAAGTAATATTGTTAGTCTAAAAATTGACAAAGGACAAATATGTGGAGAAATAAACTTTTTTTTATTTAAAACAATCATCCATATGAATAATGAAACTTTATTATTATTTTTTTCACCGCTTTTACCAAGTCCAGAGCAGCATATAGTTACAGGTAATGGAGGCTTAGACTAGCCTTTTCATTGTCTTCTTCGGCTTAGAAATCATAAAAAATGTTCAAAAAAGAAATTCCTATGTCCATTTACTAAACCCAGATTCACTTATGCAGTAAGTGAGCCATAAAAATATACGAAGTACATGTTTTCCAGCTTATTTGTTGGATTTTCATGTTGTTTGACAGATCCTCGCTGTTTTAATAATTTAATTATGCAATTCATAATGCATTATGATGTAATTAGTCAAATCAATCTTAAAAAATAGTCTAGAAAAAATTGCATTAACTACTTGAATACAATAAACAGCAAACAGAAATTCTTAATCAAGCAAAGCATATTTCCTTTCAGAATCGACAGCATCCTATTCTCTCGTCCAAATTGTAATGAAAATAACATCACGTCCAATTCCCATGATCATTCTGACCATCTTTTAGAAAATGACTATGCTGCATGAAAATGTAATGGATGAATGCAATGACATTCAGAGCAAGCAAGTGCTCTCTTTCTTCATCATATCTCTTATTGATTGTTCATTCGTCTTTGGATTGTAGTTTGACTAAATGAATGATTTTTCCTCTTGAATCAGTAACGAGGCATTAGAGAGGTGTAAACAACGTATCGAATTGATTGCAAACACACTGCAATTAGAAGGATTTTCCCGAATAGATGCTTTTGTTAATGTTGATAGTGGAGAGGTATGCTAGTTCCATGATACCATTTGCGATGCCTCTATTTGCCTTGAGCTGAATTAACACAAGATAATAATTAAGCTTTATTCCGTTCTCTTGGTTTGCTTAGAACAGCTCTCTTTGGTGATATTTATTTTCCACCCATGTCATTACTTGCAGGTGCTGATTATAGAGGTCAATACTGTTCCTGGAATGACTCCTTCCACCGTCCTTATTCATCAGGTAGCAATTAGATGTGTTTTGGGAATTTAGTAACAAATGACTTGTCTCTTTCTGTAACACTGCATATATTAAACAGAAATTTGCATTTATCTGGAAAAAAAAATAAAACAAAACAAAATAAAATAAACAGAATTCTGCATGAAATATCAACATAGAAATAGATTCACAGAGATAAAATCATATAGTAAAAAATACAACAATCTTCTGTGAAATAATACAAGGAAAAGTAAAAATGAGATCATGTACTGAAACTACTGATGTCAGGTGAGACCATCTTAGTTCATCTCAAGAAGCACCTATTTACTTGCCTGTCAAAGCCCTACTGTTTCATTAGCCCTAACGTGCTAGAATTTGCTGTGTTTCTCAGGCGCTAGCAGAACAACCTCCCATGTATCCTAAAAATTCTTCCGCACGTTGCTTGATTTGGCATCAGAGAGGATCATATAGAGTTTTGTTGTGCTCAATTAGCTTCAAGTTTTGGAAAAACCCTGTATCATTGTATGTTGCTTGGGGCAGTGCTTTGAAACTGTTAAATTAAGAAATCGCTAAATTCTCCCTCCCACCCACCCTTTGATTATGTATCCCAACATTTTAGAGAGAAGAAAAGAAACAGGGGGGCTATTACATATTATTCTTCTCTTTAAATTGTCACTTATATTTCTTGCCTGAAAAATGTTCCGCTTGTATTTCCTGTATTAAAAGAAAAAAAAAAAAAAAAAGAGTTTAACTTGTATTTCGCCCCCTGATTGCATTATTGAATTATAGCAATATGCTCATTTTTTTGTGGCCTCCATATGTTTTTCCTATAATCTATAGAAAACCTCCTCCATATATAGGCCTACATTTACCAGGAGGGCTTGCCTTAAGCAGTGAGGCTTGGAACCCAAAACCTTGGACATGAGCCCATAAGCAACCACAACTTCACCTAGAACAATCTCCTTTTTTAACAGACAAGTTTTTCCTATCATCTGCATAAAATTTTGTGGGAGGTTGGAGACAAGGCCAAATGGTTGGTCAAGAGGGGCAAGGTGGCTTTTGGAGTTGGGAAGGTGGGGAGCATTTTTGTGTCCCTTAAGAAGATTGATCTATCGTTAGTGGGGAGGTAAAGTACTAACACTCAGGGGGTTGTGCCTCTAATGGTTATCTTGGAGGATGAAGCTATTTTTAGACTGTATAGGGCTTCAACAATGGCGGTGGCTACTTCTGTTTCTGTTACACAGTTGGGGAGAGAAGCTGATGAGGTTCCTGCGTGTACGGTGGCTTCCCCTTCTGCCCAATATCCAGAAAAGAAAGGAGGGTATACCTATTGGTTCTGATCGTTTTGCTCTATAGAGAGGTGCACCTTGTTATGGAGGCTTGGAAGAAAGTTTTATGGAGAATAAACGTAGGAGATAGGATTACATTGTATCTCTCTTGTAATAGTTTGGTAGTTGGGCATGTGGGCTTTCTAATGTAATATTTGTTTATTTGATTAATTTCTAGAGACTCTGTTCCTCAATGTTTTCCTTTTTTTTTTTTCTCCTCTCTATCTTGCAACATTCTTCTGCATGCACTGTAGGACTTCGCATTACTTGTCTGATGGGTCCAACGCCACTGTAGGACTTCGCATTTGACTGGCTGTTTTTCTCTTAGGTGAGTCGTAAAGAGTGATTATATCTCTCAATAAAATGTAGCTTCTGACATTTTTTTAGGTGAAATTACTTGCTTGTCCACTTAGTGGATGATGCTTTTTTTTTTTCCATCACTCATTCTTTTCTAAGCCACTTGTGTCCTCAAAAGGTTCCCTTCCTGTCCAGGTTGGATTCTCTCATTCTAACATTCTTCGAAGTGTTATTCATCATGCTTGCTTGCGGTTCTCCACTCTCGCGTCACACAATGAAGTATCAGTTCATTTGCCAAGAAGATCGAAATCCTTGCAGTTCGATGAAGCATTCAACAAAAGGGAAGGCATTCAAAATTTTTTTGTCTTATTTGGAGGAGACACATCAGAGCGGCAAGTCTCTCTTATGAGTGGAACAAATGTTTGGCTTAACTTGCAGGCATTTGATGATGTAAGTTTAGGAAGCATTAGCTGTAAATTGTGTAGTTTGCATAACAGTTCGCCAGTGTGTTTGATGAAGGATATAACTGGATTTCTATTATACACGGATGATGCAGTATTAGATACTGATGCAATTAAGTTTATCATTTGATTTTGGAATCCAAATGTCCAAAAGTTCTCATGTGTGTGCCCTGGACCTGGACCAATGCTTAGCATTGCATTGATTCTAGCCACCATGCCTGTCTTTTTACTCATCCAAGCCACCAATTTTGTGATTCAATGATTAATTCAGATGTTTTACTTTTAATTGAGGTGAATTATGGTTATGAATAATGTCTGATATTGGCAATTTGTTGTCTACAGCTTGATGTAACTCCTTGTTTGCTTGCCCCCTCAAATGACCATTCTGATGATAGTTCCAGAGTGGTTTGGTCATTACCGTAAGGACAGACTTTTGTTCGTGTTCAACTCTGCTATACATTTTCCTTTTGAAAAGTCGAATAATCCACCATCCATTTATTGGTTTTCTATAAATCTTTTTTGGTAGTCAGAATCATGTTTTGATGTTTTTGATTTTCATGTATGTTATATCATGCTCTGGGAATTTGAATGCAGTTACTCTATTGTTCTGAGACACACTACAGAGGAAGTTCTTGATGCCTGCATAGAAGCAATTGAACCAGCTCGGGCAGCTCTGACTTCTCATTTGCGCAACCAAGTGATGAATGACCTCACGGAAGGTCTAATGAAGCATAGTTGGTTTACAGGGTTATGTTTTTACTTATAGGGAACACCCCATGCAAATCAGGCTATGTTCATTCTCTTATGCTCTATTTTTCTATCAGAACAATCTCAATTATATTGAACCTATTCAACAACTCTCAATGCCGCAGATAGAATTCAATAAGACACCTAACAGCAGAAATACAATGAAGCAAACCTGAGGATAATATATCATATCATAGATAATACATCCCCGTCTACAATAAAGCCCAGTTTCTTGTCCAGTCCCTCTAGCTAGTTATGAAATGGAATGTTCTTCTCGCTTAAAGTGGATCATAAATTTTCACTCGTTTTTTTTTATATGCAAGTTCCTTCTCCCAAACAGTTTCCGATGGCACAAGTTATAACAGTTTCCGATGGCACAAGTTATAACAGTTTCCGATGGCACAAGTTATAACGATAAAGAAAGGCTGAAATGCTGTTAAGGGCAGCTATCAATAAGATTCCAAAAATTATAAGAAATCCACTAATCAAACACAAAATAACTAAGAAATAAGAAATAAATGACAAAATATCTAACAAATGAGAAATTAAGCATAACATTATTAAATGAGAGATAGTTTAACCTTAAAAATTTGCTAATCCTTGTCCGCTGACTCAGCTTTAAAAGCTGACAGCATCACCTCTGCTTGCTCTAGCATCAACTTTCCCCTCTTCAAGTACAACTCCAATTCAGCTTCCCGCACCTTCTTCCACTTCTCCTTCATCTCCGCCTTCTGCCTCCCACGGACGAAATTCAATCCCCTCCTCCCAACATAATCATCGACATTGGTATATAACTCTGAAAAATCTCTCTCATCCAACCCAGCCTCCAACACCTCCTTACCGCTCTCATTATCGTTACTCTTCTCACTTCTCTTCTGATTAGCTTTGCTAACTCCTTCACTGCCCCAGATCCTTTTCGACAAATCAAACCACTTTTGATCATGTGGTTTGCTAAATGTCTTATTTTCCCCTCCTTTCCCTTTCAGCTGATTCTCAAATTTCTTCTTTGACCTCCAAATCTTGTCCTTTAATTGAGTTATAGACACATCAAAATGTAAAGAGTTCTTAATAATATTAAAAAACGCTTTCATATCATTTGATGGAGTATAACCATTCTCTGCTGTAAAATCAATTATACCTAACAGCAGAACGATCTCATCCTCCTCCGTCCACAACCTTTGAAACAACTTCTTTGTAGAATCCCCGGACTTGTCAGGTTCGCGATCGGCTCCTTTACCCCTCTTCCCGGCTGCTGATTTCTTTTGAGTGGCAGCCGCAGCCGATTCAGATTCTTGGGTGGTAGGTTTCGATTTTTTGGGGGTCGGCTTTTGGATTCGAGGGGTTTTGGATTGAGGTTGAGGAGGAGAGGATGGACTTTCTTCATCATCAGATACCTCTACTTCTTCACTACTGGAAGTTTCTTCCTCTTCTTCTTCAGAGCTAGAAGCAGAAGGTGGATTTTCTACGGGAGCGGGGCGTTTTGGTGCCATTGAGAAACAGAGACAGTTATTGTTTCGAAAGAGAGTTCAACAAGCAACGGCAGGGAGGCTCTTTTAGGGTAAAGAGAAAGTCGCCCTAAACCAATTTAAATAGAAGACAAGACGGGAGAAAATTATAAATTAGTCCCCGCGTTTTTGAGAAATTAATTAATTAATGTTTAAAAGGTACAATGCACAGGTCTTCTCAGAGCGCAGAGGAGAGGATATTATCTCCTGCAAAAATGGGTACTTGAAAGATATGGAGGTTGATGAGACTGTTTGATAGATTAAGTATATTAATTTAAATTTATTTTTTCCAATAATGTATTTCAATTTTTATTTTTTATTTTTTATATTAATTTTTTTTAACAATATCAAATAATTTTTTTTTGTTCAATTTTTCGTACAGTGATAATATATTAATTAACAAAAAGATTAAATTACTGTGTTGTTTTTTCTCTTCTTAAATTATTATTATTATCTTTTAACTATTAATTAAAAAAACATAATAGTTGACAAGCATACATGACACTTGATTTGTTTTTTCTTTTTTAATTAATAATTAAATAATAATAATAATTTTTTAAAAAAGATAATATAGCCATTTTTATTAACTGCTAAATCATCACATCAGACAAAAAAAAGTTAATTAATATTTAAAAAAATTAATATATTAAAAAAATAAAAATTAATATATTTAATTATGAAAAATTTAAAATTGATGTATTTATTAAGTAGGTTTTCCATTGAGATACATATTCTGACTTTCAAGAGTCGTGTAATCAATATCCAAATTAATACGTATTTCGTGATTCGACTTCGACTGTCAACGGACAATGCAGGAAAAAGAAACGAAGACTTAAATATTTATTAACAACACAAGGCAATGCAAAATCTGTACACTTCCTGAATAAGAATATTAACAAGTCCAAAAATTTCTCTCTTACGCATGAAGTGGCGTAGGATTAGCAATCCGTCTGTAGTTGGAACCCCTATGAACTTTTAAACTGCTCTCTTTTTTGAGTAATTTTTGGCACAACCTTCACATTTTCTTGCAGCTACTCTCATGCCATTACCACCTCATCCATGACCCTAGCTAGTAGATACATGACTCTTAATGCCAGTTGGCCCATCCCTAGCTAAACCAAAATCAGAAAGCTTTGCATTGTAGCCTTAAAAATATAGAGCAGAAGAAGCAGTTCAAGTTATGAGAGTCTGAAGCTAAATCTCAACATATACAGCCATATTACCATTAAAAAAAAAAAGTGATAAGAAAGAAAAAGGAGAAATGATAAGAAAATGGTAGCGAGGTACCTACCAAATCAAGAAGGAAGTTAGAAGTCTCAATGACGATATATGACTTTTGCTTCAGCACTGTGAAGAAAGGCAAGCCCCTTTGCAGCACCAATTAAGTGCAACTTTCATTCGAATGTTCCAAGAAAGTGGTTGGAAGGGAGACCCTCCTGTTCTTCAATTTATTCAATACTTCAATAACATTACAAATAAGGTGCAGTTGGTATGGGATTTCCTGCTCTTCACAAAATAGAGACACCAAAAGTGGCAGTTAATAGGAAAGAGCATAAGTAACTCACTCCAGAATACACGATTCTTCATTCTGCTCGTAAACCAGCATGTGATGGTCATCCTCTAAGCAGTAACCAATCAACTTAAACAAGGTTAGGGTGTTGATATATGTGTTTCTATTTTTAGGCCCCAGCTTAATTCGATGTTTTCTATTTTCCATAGAATCTCCTGGGTTTTCCAATCTACTATAGTTTTGTCCTTGTTTTTCTTAGTCGTATTTAAACGAAAAAGGGTTTGATTTGCTTCAGCTATGCGAATTTCTACCGATTCCTCTTTTATTCATCAAAGCTCAAATCCTAATCTCCCCTTGAACTCAGTGAGACGATACATAGATTATATTGCTTTACTTTGTGTCTGGGTGTGCTTTACTCCGTGCGTGTGAAAATAGTATATTTTATGCTTGTGCTGACAAAGGTGTGGTGCTTGAGGTTTTTGGCAAGAAAAAACAACGGTGATGGTATAATCTGTTTGCGCTTTAATGCACAGTCCATCTTCGGAAAACCTAGAGAGTCTCATGGACTTCTATCAAATTGTTCTCTCTATATTCTTCTTTGCTTTATATCCCATGGAGATGCAGATGTAGATCATGGAGATGAAGCATGATTGCTACAGCATTTGCCAAGTATTTAATGAATTGTGTGGCTTTTTCCAGATTTGTCAGGGTAGCTTCAATAAGAGTTTTGCTCTTCTTTTCGTCCTTTTATCTTTATTTTTTACGTGTTACGGAAGACTGGGAGGGTGGAGTGAGTAAGAAAGTAGGAGGGGGAAAACAAGGTTTCATTCAGCACATTAAGCATGCTACAACTTCAACAACCCAAAGAAGAAAGACAGGGCACCAATGCATACCCAAAAAAACAGAACCACACTAGACTGCAGCAAAAAATAAAATAAAACAAAATAAAACAATAATAATAATACAAAATAAAATAATATATATATATATATAGAGAGAGAGAGAGAGAGAGAGAGAGAGATTTATGAGAAAATAATATTGACTTTATTAACCAGAAATTGAACCAAAAAAATTAATACAAAGGAAAACGAAAGATTAACTTAACCATACAATTCTCATTTTATTTTTATTTTATTCTTTTAGAAGAAAAAACACTCGAATTTTATTGAAGGAAAAAAAAATGATGTTAAGCTACATGTGATTGGCTGCTTCTGATGCATTAATTAAACATGAAATCTTTCATAAGAACAAGTAATGTTTTGGCCTTAGAGGGCTCCTTAAGCTCTACAACATGGTAACCTCCTTCGCTAAAATGGCTCAAAACTTTTACATCTCTTGTCACCAACATGTTCACAAATTCGATCTGACGGTCGATCATGGGATCCCCATCACAGCCAGTCACCATTACTTTCCATCCCAGCAATCTTAGATTCTCCCAAAGCTTAGATCCACCATCCACCATTGGATTACAATACTCATGATCACGGTCAACGCCAGAAGGCAATGCCAAGTTCCACATAAGATCATTAACACATTGTGGCAAGTGAGGGGGTCATCAAGTAGCCTCATCTCTGACCCAGTCCTTTTGACCCCACCAATGAATGGATGATGCAATATCAGCCCTCTGATCTTCGAGGGCACGAGATTGTCGACTTCTTGACTTACACATAAACCTGCATGTAAAGCAATGTTAGCACCAGCACTGCTGCCCATAATGAAACATCTAGTGTAATCAACATTTTCTATTAGCCAATCTTCTTGGGTGGTTTTGATCCGACGCAAAACCTCCACAGCATCATCATAGGCTGCCGGTAGACGGTGCTCGGGGGGAGACGGTAGTCAACGGAGATTTGCTAACAATTAAACATTATTATATATGGAGATTTGGCATGAATTGACCTCAAAGCTCCAGTGTGAAACATTATGTGTTAAACCAGCAAGGGATGGATGCTCGACTGGGGTTGCAAGATTATGGTTGCTTTATATCACTTGTTATTTCCACTTGCTAATAATCTTTATTGAGCTGATATCATACATCCCTAAACCCAGTTAAACATTTTGTGAAACTTATTTTTTATTAATTAAAAGTGTAAAATATTTTATAATCAATATTTTCTTATGCACGTTTTTTGGACCCAAACAAGAGCAATTAATGTTTAATTGTTTTGAGTAATGAAACGCATTTGACAAAAAGTCATTTCAAGAAACGAGAAGAGAGTCGAGTCGTTTTCTGTTTTATCAAATCGCAATTAATGCAAGGACTTAAAGAGGAAACATAACACACATGAAGACTCATCAAGGCTGTCCGTTTCTGAGGACTTTGCCATTACACAAAAAGCTATCATTCTCTGTTAGATCATCTTCAAGTCTGTCTATAAAACTATAGCATCATTAACACAAAGCCGAAGCTAAACAACCATCAACTCTGCCACATGAGAAATTAAGCATAACATTATTAAATGAGAGCTCTAACCTTGAAAATTTGCTAGTCCTTGTCCGCTGACTCAGCTTTAAAAGCTGACAGCATCAGCTCTGCCTGCTCTAACATCAACTTCCCCCTCTTCAAATACAACTCTAATTCTGCTTCACGCAGCTTCCTCCACTTCTCCTTCATATCAGCCTTCTTCCTTCCGCGAACAAAGCTCAATCCATTCCTCCCGACATAATCATCCACGCAGCTATAGAACTTCGAAACATCCCTCTCTATCTCAACTTCCATTCTATCCCCCTCTTCCAGATTCACATCCAGCCCAGCCTCCGAAACCTCTAGTTTATTTGCATTCCCTCCCTCCCCCTCTTATTATTATTACCGTTATCATTTTTCTTCTCACTGGCTTTACTACATCCTTCACTGCCCCAAATATTTTTCGATAAATCAAACCACTTCTGATGATGGGGTTTGCTAAATATCTTATTTTCCCCTTTTTTTCCCTTCACCTGATTCTCAAACCTTTTCTTTGACCTCAAAATCTTATCCTTCAATTGACTCATAGACACATCAAAATGCAACGACTTCTTAATAAAATCCAAAAACCCATTCATATCCTTTGATGGGCTATAACCTTTCTTTGCAGTAAAGTGAATTATACCTTGAAGCAGTGCAATCTCATCCTCTCCGTCCACAACCTTTGAAAGAGCTGCTTTTTGGTGTCCTCGGACTTCTTTATGGCTGTTGATTTCGGACTAGCAGCTGCAGCTGTTTCAGATCTGTATTTATTGGCTGCTGCCGAGACAGTCTGTTTAGGTTGTTCCGGTTTTTTGGGGGTCGGCTTTCGGGTTCGAGTGGTTTTGGCTTGTGTTTGAGGAGGAGAGGGTGGACTTTGTTCATCATCAGACACCTCTTCTTCTTCACCACTGGAAGTTTCTTCCTCTTCTTCTTCAGAGCTAGAAGCAGAAGGTGGATTTTCAACGGGAGCGGAGCGTTTTGGTGCCATTGAGAAACAGACAGTTATTGTTTCAAAAGAGAGTTCAATAAGCATCGGCAGGGAGGCTCTTTTAGGGTAAACAGAAAGTCGCCCTAGACCAATTTAAATAGAAGACAAGACGGGAGAAAATTATAAATTAGTCCCCGCGTTTTCGAGAAATCAATTAATTAATTAATTAATTAATGTTTGAAAGGTACAATATACTGTTTCTTCGGAATACAATGTAGTGTTTTTTAGGATTGTTGGAGAAAGAAATTTACAATCTTTGAAGATCTTGTGATTGATTGAGAAGACATGGAGAAAGAAATTTAATACAATGCACAGGTCTTCTCAGAGCGCAGAGGAGAGGATATTATCTCCTGCAAAAATGGGGACTTGAAAGACGTTGGGGGTGATGAGACTGTTTGATAGATTAAGTATATTAATTTAAAATTTTGTTTTTCAATAATGTATATCAATTTTTATTTTTTATATTAATTTTTTTTGACAATATCAAATATATATATTTTTTTAATTTTTCGTATAGTGATGATATATTAATTAACAAAAAGATTAAATTACTGTGTCATTTTTTTCTCTTCTTAAATTATTATTATCGTTTAAGTATTAATTAAAAAAAACATAATAGTTGACAAGCATACAAGCCACTTGATTTGTTTTTTCTTTTTTAATTAATAATTAAATAATAATAATAATTTTAAAAAGAAGAAGATAATATAATCATTTTTATTAACTGTTAAATCATCACATCAGAAAAAAAGTTAATTGATATTTTTAAACAATTAATATATTAAAAAAATAAAAATTAATATATTTAATTGTGAAAAATTTAAAATTGATGTATTTATTAAGTAGTTTTTTCAAAAAAAAAAAAAAAGAAGAAAGCAAAATGACATAATTCCACCTATATGACAAGTGATGACATTTATTTGGCTACGAGACTCGTTTGATAACATAAATTTTTGTTTTTTTTTCATCAGTTGTAAACATGTTAGAGAGATATTTTGATCAGTATTTTCTTGAATAAATTATTTGATAACCGAAATATATTTCTAATCACGTGATAAAATGTTGAGCCATTAATTTCAGTTTTCTTTTTCTGGTGTGTGTTTAAATCGTGCCACTTCCAAAACTTATTAATTTCTCTACAATAAACTAGTTTGTTTAAAAAGATATGAGAAATTGTGGAAAACTAGGAGCTATTCAGAAAATGCTAACGCAACAGTTGAATAAAATTATTGTCACAAGCATTGTGGCATATTCGGATAAAATACACTCAACACGTGCTTCTGATCATCTGCTAAAAAAAACTACCACTAAATCAAAACATTAATTTACGTATTTCGTGATTCTGACTTCTGACTGCCAACAGACGATGCAGGAAAAAGAAATGAAGACTTAAATATTTATTAACACACAAGGCAATGCAAAATATGTACACTTCTTGAATAAGAATATTAACAATTCCAAAAATTTCTCTCTTACGCATGAAATGGCCTAGGATTAGCAATCCGTCTGTGGTTGGAACCCCTGCGAAGTTTTAAATTGCTCTCTTTTTGAGTAAATTTTTGGCACAGTCCATCTTCGGAAAACCTAGAGAGTCTCATGGGCAATGTTTAGTTTAGCTTTGAATGCTAGTGGACTTCTATCAAATTGTTCTCTCTATATTCTTCTTTGCTTTATATCCCATGGAGATTCAGATGTAGATCAGTGGAGATGAAGCATGATTGCTACAGCATTTGCCGAGTGTTTAATGAATTGTGTGGCTTTTTCCAGATTTGTCAGGGTAGCTTCAATAAGAGTTTTGATCTTCTTTTCCTCCTTTTATCTTTATTTTTTACGTGTTACGGAAGACTGGGAGGGTGGAGTGAGTAAGAAAGCAGGAGGGGGAAAACAAGGTTTCATTTAGCACATTAAGCATGCTACTACTTCAACAACCCAAAGAAGAAAGACAGGGCACCAATGCATACCCAAAAAAACAGAACCACACTAGACTGCAGCAAAAAATAAAATAAAACAATAATAATAATAAAATACAAGAGAATAATGAAATTTAATATAATTAAGTGCTACTAGCACAAAGTATAAGAATTCAGCACACACATCTAACCTGCAGGCTTAGAACGTTAACAGCGTGGATCACTCATAAACTCATTGTGGCATTCTCATATTAAGCAAAATCTAAATGCACATGGTAACCAACAACTAGTTTAATAATGCAAATGCATCACAATCAGACCAATGACAGTCATTAACGAGGAATTGACCCTCCAATCCTAATAGAAGAATGTGTTAGATGATCTTGCAAATAATAGGCATGAAAGCAGATATTTGGGTAATACCACTCATACAATTAAAGTACCTATATCATCCCAACAGAAAATCTACAGAACCAAAACCTAAAGGTAACGAGGAGAGAGGCTAATTTATTAAGAAGTGAAGTAAAGTATCTCATAATCTGGACATCAACTACAAGGTGTGATGGAGAGAATTGCAGCACTTATTCAAAGGTTCCTTTCCTGCTTTTGTTCATATATTTGAGATGTTCAAAATGTAGACTTTCAGAGAATATGTTTATGCCCTAGTACTGTCTACAACTCACCTTGTAAAGCTCTTCATCAAATTGTGCTAACTGGGCACACTTTGCCATGGCATCTTTTCTCATAAAAAAGGGTGTCTGCAAGGCCGTGTACCCTCTTTTCTCCAACAATTCCAGGCCAAAGTTGATCAATGCTTGATTAAGTCGGACACCATCAACTTTGAGGTAGAAGCCTCTACCTCCCGCTACATCAGCACCTAATCATTTCCAGAACATCCATATTAACTTAAACTTCACATGCCAAAGCGTCAAGACATTCCGAACTACTCTTTTTACAGGCTATAGACAAAAAGGGAAATGCGATTTTGATGGTTCATTATGAAAATGAAACATCAGGACTGATTAATCTACACTGGGAGTCCCTCGAGGTCAAAAGCCCAGCTTCATAAACCAGTGAGCAATGATGGAGCCACAAGGTTTAGACAACAATAAGCTAAGATCATCAAGCTCCATTGATTAGGCTCAGGGGCTTATAATAATCATACCAAACATCTATAAATCTAACACATTTGACCAACACCATACACAAAAATCCCCAATAACTAAACCCTCATGGATGACATAAAACCCTTGTCACAAGAGATTAAGTAACATAAATTATAGTCCATACGTCATCCAATCCAAATCCTAAAATGACGGTCATCTTGGACACAATTTTGCATGTGTGTCAGTCAATTTAAAGAGAGGCAGCAATATGGAATGCCCGCATACCTTTCTTCAAGTCCGCAATTCCCAGAAGTTCAACAAGGTCACCATGATTCCTCAACTTCTTCTCCACTCGCTTCTCCCCCCACGCCCGAATCACAGCATTATTATCCTACATAACAACAACCAAAAAACACAACATACATTTTTAACCAATCATTCCAACATTCAAGGATTAAAAAAATATATATATACGCCCACAAGAATAGAGACAACAATACACTCACCTCGTTATTGTCAAACGGCACTGAATCATGCACGAGATTACCAATAGTTGACAATCTAGAATACAGCGCATCTTTAGCCTCTTGCACCTCTTTTTCCTCATCAGCTATCAATTTTTTCGTCTCTTCAGTATCTTTAATTGCTTCCGTTGCATCTTCTTTCGCCTTTTTTTTTAATACAAAATAAATAAAAATTAAAATACAATAAATAAATTTCAAACAAATTAAATTAGTAAATGAAAAAATTAAACACAAAAATTAAAAACTTAATTATTAATTAATTACGATTTTAAGCTGCGCGACTCTTTTGTTCTGCTTATTAAACTCTCTACGTAAATTATCAAGCTCAAATTGACCTGCAAGAAAACGATATCAAACGACAGTTAAAAACGACATCAAATGACTACTGCTGCTGTATTGAGTAAATGAATTGAATTAATATGTTTATACAGATATTTTATTACTGAATTCAATTCATTTTATTTTCTATTTCACTCTCGCCTCTTTTATCTTATTCTTTCAAAGATTTTTCAATACTCTAGATATTTTCAACCACAAAAAAACTCACTTCCTTCAAATACTACAATCCCTCTCTCTTTCTTTAATTCTCTTCTATTTCAATTCTTTCTCTATTTATTAAAACAAAAAATAGAACCATTGATATAGCAAAAAAGGAAAAAATTTTATTTTTTGAATCAAAGGAACTAATTGTATTATGTATGTAAGCACATAATTAATTTCCAACAAAACTATATATCATCCCTAATTAGATTCGAGTATATAGTATAAATAATTAAAAAAAATCATCTAGGTTGTATGGAATATATTAAAGTCAATAAATTAAAATAAAAACTACTATAAAATTGGTTCTCATAAATTAAGATCATCGTAAGTAGATTCGAGTATACTAGTTGGATACTCGCGCTACGCTGCGGACAAACAATCGTTATATACGTAGAGTTAATGATTCGTATGGTATAATGCAAGTAAAAAAAAAATTTAGTGATATATATATATATATATATATATATATGATTTAGAGTATATAAAATAAATAGAAAAATATACCAAAAAAAAAACCCACCTAAACCGTAGAAATATATTGATGGCGATAGATTAAAATAAAAACTACAAAAAAAATGGATTCCGATAACTTCTAAATAAATATATAAAAAAAGCAAATAACACTTTTGAATTTTTTTAACTCATTATTATTTTTTTAAAATCGAGTCAAACTATCTAAAACATACTCTCTCTCTCTCCCCTATATATATATATATATATATATATATATATATATATATATATATATATATATATATATATATTAAAAAATAAAACACTCATTTAAAAATATAAAATAATTTATTGCATAAATTATAATAATATAATTTAAAAATAAAACATTAACGTTCTAAAATTTTATTCCATAATTCATGTATTGAAAAATCAAACTTACTAACAAATAAAATTATATCAAAAAATTAAAAATTAATTTAATGAGAATTTTAATAAGAAACAAATAATTGAAGAAATAAATTAATAATGGTTCGGGGACATTGAAGAGACTAATAGTATATATGTTTTCTTTCTTAGTGAATGAACGAATGATATATTATCGCTTAACTTGTACAACATTTGCTGAATCAATCATATAAATTGTAATAATATATTTTAAAAAAATAAAAAAATCAAGTTCTAAAATTTTATTTCAAAATCCATACATAAAAAATCAAATTTATTAACAAATAAAACTATATAAAATAAAAAAATTAATTCGATGTGAATTTTAATAATAAAAAAATAATTAAAAAAATAAATTTTAAACAATAAAAATAATATAATCGGATATATATGTTTAAACTAAAATTTTTAAAAATATTATATATATTCTATTATCATAAAACTAAAACAAATAACGATCGTTTTTATATTTTCACACCTAATTTTATAATAAAAAATATAAAAATAAATTATATAAGAAAAAAAAAGGCAAACGTTGATTGGGATCGCTTGTGCGGACCTACTTAAGCCACTTCTCAATACCAAATCTATAAAAAAACAAAAAACAAATGCTTCTCCAGGCCAACCTTGGGGAAATAAAACTACGAGTGAAATGAGCCGAGCAAGTCGCTAGAGCCCTCTTCTCCGAGCCGACACTAGAATAAAAAAATAAAATACTATAGTAAATGAACAAGGAAAACCCTTGGTCTTTTAGTTTTTTTAGAATAATTATAATATTTGAAATACGATTCTAGCTCTCTCCTTCTCATCAAAATTTCATCATTTTCTTTGAAAAATTATAAAAATAATCAATCATAGAAATTATAATAATATATTTTTAAAAAATAAAACAATCGGATTCTAAAATTTTATTTCAAAAGCCATGTATAAAAAATCAAATTTATTAACAAATAAAATCATATAAATTTTAAAAATTAATTCGATGAGAATTTTAATAAGAAAAAAAATATTGAAGAAATAAATTTTAAATAATAAAAATAATATAATCGAATATATAGGTTCAAACTAAAATTTTAAAAAATATCATATATATTCTATTGTTGTCAAACTATACGTAAACTAAAAAAATAATGATCTTTTTTTATATTTTCACACCTAATTTCATGATAAAAAAAATATAAAAATAAATTATTTATATAAAAGGGGAACAATTGTCATTTGATATTTAAATAAATCATTTATTAATAAAATAATATATTATTATACCAATATATTTAAAATAATATTTAACTAATAAAATGTAATATTAATTTAATTACATGGTATAATTATCAAATATATTATATTACTAAAATACTTATCAATTTTTATTTATATTCAAATTCGTAAAATAATATATTATTTATATCATAATTTAAAATAATAATAAAATATTATATTGTATAATAAATACAATATTCACAATCAAAATACAAATAACTATTTTATAATAATTATTTGATTTTTTTTGTAAAATACAATGATAATATATTATAATTATTAACTATAAATAATTTTATTATTTAAATAAAATATATTTATAATAAATAAGGACCTAAATAATATATTTGGCCATATAATAATAGTCCTATAAATATAGAAACTGAAAAAAAAAAGAGGTTAGACATTTAAAAAAAAAAAGCAAAAAAGCAATGCATAAATATAATATTCACAATCAAAATACAAATAATTGTTTTATAATAATTATTTGATATTTTTTGTAAAATATATTGATAATATATTATAATTATTAACTTTAAATGATTTTATTATTTAAACAAAATATATTTCTATTTTATAATAATTATTTGATTTTTTTTTGTAAAATATAATGATAATGTATTATAATTATTAACTATACATAATTTTATTAGTTAAATAAAATATATTTCTAATAAATAAGGATTCAAATAATATATTTGAGCATATAATCTTTGTGCAAAAGTCATCATTTCAAGGCACAAGTAGGAAACAATATAAATGAGAATTGCATGCTTTGTAACATTTGTTGTGCAAGAAGTCTTAAAGAAGTACATCTTGCCATTTGGTCTCGAAGTGTGTTTAGAGTATTGGTTTTGAGTGATCATAGGCACATTATTATAAAGAAATAAAGGGAACTAATTAATTTATTTCTCAAAGAATTATTTTTTTGTTTTTTCTATTTTTAAAATAAAAAATAAAAATAGTAAAATGGTGAAAATGACTAACAAAATTAGTTTTCAAACCAAATGAACTAATTAATTCATCTTTCAAAGAAAGAGTAACCAAGAAGCAATAAAAAATTAATGAATAGGGATAATAAGTCTAGAGTTACAATAAATAAATAGTATCACATGCACTTCTTTCAGTTTTTTTTATAATTTTTCTATTTTTTAAAAATAAAAATATTCAAATAGTGAAAATGACTAAAAAAATTAGTTTTCAAACCAAATGGACTAATTAATTCATCTCTCAAAGAAAGAGTGACCAAGAAGCAACAAAACATTGATGAATAGGGACAATGAGTCTAGAGCTACAGTGAATGAATAGTATCACATGCACTTCTTTTAGTTTTTTTTTATAATAGTATAAATAATTTTATTAAAAAAAAACCATCTACGTTCTATGGAATATATTAAAGTCAATAAATTAAAATAAAAATTACTACAAAATTGGTTCTCATAAATCTTACTTTTTAATTTCGATGAAAAAGATTCATAATTTGTAAATTAAATAATAAATTAGTTCATCGTTTTTTTAAAAATGAATGAATTATTTTTTTTATTAGTATTGACAATGAATAATATATTTTTTATTTTTAAAAAGTCTTTTTTTCATTTTTTTCCTATATTTTTTAGTCTATCTCTATTTCTTAAAACAAAAGATAAAAACATTGAAATAGCAAAAAGGACAAAAAAATAGTTTTTGAACCGAAAGGACTAATGACGTTATGTATGTAGATACATAATTAATTTTTAACAAAACCAATAAAGTAAATCATATTTATCAAGAAATAAAAGTTCATAAAAATTTTAATTTGATGAGAATTTTTATATTAAACAACAAATTTAAGAGATTAATTTTAATTAATAAAAAAATATAATTCGATATATGTGTTTGTTTTAAAATTTAAAAACAAAAGAGGCCAAAAATATTTTTAAAAAATATAAGAAATAAAAGGTGTATTTTGAAAAAAAAAGTGAGGTAAAAATATACTAAATTAAAAAACATGATATTTCAAAATATTTTTAAAAATATGAGGATTTAAAAATATATTTTGAAAACATAAATGACAAAAAAAATTGAATTGTAAAATTTGAAAATAAATGAAAAAACTATCAGGAAATCACAAAAATACTTCTATAGAAAATAAAAAAAACACTTTACTAAAAGCCAAAAGAAGGTTTTGGCTAAAGAAAAAGAAAAAAAAAAAAACGAGGGCCTTGGCTTAAAAAAAAAAAAAAACAACTAGTGAAAGTTTACTCTTCAAATAAACAATAAACCTCTCGGATGTTTTAGTGTTTAGTAGAATGAGTCAATATTAAATGCATCTCTTCGAATCAATTAAAGATGAGTTATCAACAAAAATTCATGAAAATTATTTTCTGAATTAAAGTTAAATAAATTGAAGTAAGTGCCAAGTACACTTCATCACGAGTCACCAAGTTTGTACTTTCTACTTTTGAGTACAAAATAAATTGAAGTGAATGATATTTATAATTTTATAATACCTCAAAAGAGTCTACTATATTTTACTTATTTTGGTTTTATAAAAATTTAACTAAATAGTCTTTACATATAAAAAAAAATACTTAAAATTTGTTTACTATCATAGACACATTAAAAAAATACTATAAATATTTTATTTTATACTCAAAATTTGCTTATTATCATAGAGACAAATTTAAACCTAT